ATGAATTTAGGACCTCGTGTTAAGTGTATAGGGTTCAGGGGTTTTGGGTTTAAGGGTAGTAGTACTGCTTTGCTCCCTTGCGAGGGCTGTTGCATGTTTTCTGGCAATCATCCCTGCAGACGGCAGACCACTTGTAAAAATGCAGAGGAGGGGTTTAGCATGAGGGTGCATGTGAAGGTTTTCGATTTAATGCAGACTTCTCGTGGCGGAAGGGCCGGAGCATGCTTGATGAGACAATTAATTTGCGTCCAAGTTGAGAGTTGCAGCAGAGACAGACACATGAACCATTGACATGGTACGCTTATGGTGATCTTGAGGATGCCTATGTAATCTCACTTATTGGTACTGCAGTTGTTCCTTTCTAGCTCCTAGTTCCGATCGCGACAGTGATGTGATATTGAGGTTGTTCGTTGCTAGGGTTTGTCTTCCTTGTTGCCGCCGTCACGACTTCCAGAATATCGCGTACAGAATGTGTATGATAAGCAATGTCGTTGTTTAGTTTTGGAGCTGGTTGTTGTAAGTGTGGTGGGTTGTGGTGGACTTTGGCGGTGCTGGAGGTGTTGTTTGTCAAAATACCGGTGTACGATTAGGATTGCGCTGCTGGCATCTAGTAGCGTTGCTGATGATGTCGGGATGCTTACGATCCCGATGCCCATGTCCATGACGGTGGTCAAGGTTGAGAAGAAGAAGCCGAAGCAACATATTTATTAATATATTTCGGCTTTCAAGGGCAGCAGGTCTATTTAACCTGGCCTTGGTGGCGGAACTTCGAAGAAGACTTGCCAGGTTGGATCGCTGGTGGTACGTGGAGAAGGCCTCCCACCTCCCATGGCCCTGGAAGGACTCAATTAATGTGAGGGGTTTTGGCTTCAGGCTTCGGGCCTGTTTTATCCGTTGGTGAACTAAGGCCCTTCATGCAAGCGCGTTGATGTCTTCGGCAGGTTCAATTTGTCTCATGGCAGGCTCGAATGAAACCCAATGGCCACAGCACGAGAAGGTGCATCGGATCGCAAGCCCCTCACTGATCAGGAGTTAGGGTTCAGGGTTTTTTCATGAGCCCAGAATGTTACCGTCTTTGCCAGATGTGACTTTAGCCCTGATATGACCATGACTTTCCTAGCCCCTTATCTAGTAGTACCCTGGCATCTTGCACCTTGGTCATGGCTCCTACATGTCCGATGCAACCGGCCTTGGCTGGGTGCGAACGCTTCAACCTTTGACAGTGCGTGCCGGCCGATCCAAGCGTGACGAGCCACTGGGGACTATACCGCCGGATCAAGACGTTTATGTTGCAGCCGTATCTGGCAAGCGAGGGCAGATCACATCGCCATATGTGGGGTGGATATCAATTCGGACAGCCGACGACGAAGCAACAATCGTCCAGGAGCCGCTGCCAGAGTCAGAGAAAGAAGGGGGTGTACCTGTGAGAACAGGTTGGGTGCGCGCACTGCGCGACTTGAATGTCCGCAGTGGTCGCGAGAAGCGCTCCGAGCTGGTGGGCTCCATAGCTGTCGGCACACAGGTGCTCATCGAAGACTTGCAAGGCGGGAGAGCTCAGATCCGAAAGCCGCTGGAGGGCTGGATCTCAGTTGTAACTGCCGACCAAGAGCCCACAGTGACACAGGAGACCTCCGCAGCCCCCGCAGCTCCACAAGTGAGTGCAGGCAAGGCATCACAACCTTCAGATTCGAGTGATTCCAGTGACACAGACACCAGCACCAGTGGGTCCAGTGATAGCAGTGACGCCGCTTCAAGCAAGCCGACTCTGAACCGGCCCGTTCCGGCGACACAGGGTGTGTCGCGCCATGCTCCGGAGGCAGCAAAGCCAAAGCCTCCTGCACCGACAGCTGAGTCGAGCTCCCGTGGCCAGGAGTCAAGCGCGAGCAGCAGCGCCAGCAGCGGAGCCGGCAGCAGAACGGATAGCAACAGCAGCAGGAGAGCAATCAGCAGCAAGAGACTGCCACAGCCAGTGCCACAGGCGGTGGAAGTTCCAAGTCACGGCGATGTATCCTCGCAATGGCAGGACGGGCAGGACGACTTGCTGCCCGGCATCGGCTGGTGGCGGGGTTCTTGTTAAGGAAATTGATTTATGCCAGCAGCTGCCGTAAAGGATACTAAGAGTTGCAATGTCCACCTTTTCCGTGGCAAGTTCTTGAAACCCTCTCCAGACCTTACCAAACCCGAAAGAAGCAGGTGGTGGACGCACTTGAAGGCCATCGTCTGCAAGGACGAGTCCCGACTCTCCGCGGTCGTCGGCCACATCCCACCGAATAGGACCGTCTTTGTCCAGGAGCTGAAGCTTCGCCGCATTATGAGATCGAAGGTACTGGCAAGTTTGATTGCATAGCCGACAGTTTTCCTTCAAGATTAAGTTTGAAGAATTTTCAGCCCTAGTCAGAGTCATACATTTTTTTAATCTCCCTTTTCACGCGCTCAGAGCCTCCCAAAGCCCAGGAAGGACCGGCGTGCCTTCATCAGGGAGCCTCTGGAGGGCTGGATTCAGGTGCAGTCTCCCAGTGGAAAGCCAATTCTGGCTGCAGAGCCGCCAGAGGCGCCTGCTCCGAGCTCCAGGGCCTCTGGGAAGCCAGGCACCATCCGCCTGAGGAGGCCAGAAAAGACTGCGAGCCTACCGAGTCATTCCGAAGGTGACAAAGGTGACAAGCAGGCACTGCTTCGCGAGCTTCTCAAAGACGTTGAGCCTGTCTTAGCGAAGGCCCCAGTCGATGAGTCTACCGCGAACAGTCCCGCAGTCAAACCGGGGGCTCGGGTCGCATATGAGCATGCCTCAGAGACTCCTGCAGTCAAGCGGGAGGTTCGGGTCGCAGAGGAGCCCGCGACAAGGAATCCGACGGCTCCGGTCGCAGGTATGCCTGCCTCAGAGAAGCCTGCGGTGAAGCGGGCAGTTCAAGTCGCGGATGAGCCCGCTTCAAAGACTCCAGCGGTGAAGCGCGAGGTTAGGGTCGCGGGTGAACCCGCCCCACAGAATCCTGCCGTGAAGCGGGACATTCCGGTCGCGGATGAACCTGCCTCGAAGAATTCCGCAGCCAAACGCGAGTTTCGGGTCGCGGATGAGCCCGCTTCAAAGACTCCAGCGGTGAAGCGGGAGGTTCGTGCCGCAGATGAGCCCAGCCCGCAGAATCCTGCCGTCAAGCGGGACATTTCGGTCGCAGATGAGCCTGCCTCGAAGAATCCTGCAGTCAAGCGGGAAGTTCCGGTTGTGGATGAGTCCGCCTCAAAGACTCCAGCGGTGAAGCGGGAGGTTCGGGTCGCAGATGAATCCGACCCGCAGCATCCTGCCGTCAAATGGGACATTTCGGGTGCAGATGAGCCTGCCCCGAAGAATCCTGCAGTCAAGCTGGGCGTCGCCTCAGAGAACCACATGAGTCCAGACACTGGGAAAGTGATTGCGGAAGAAGCCGTGGTTTCTCCCCAGTCCAGAACCAGTGGAAGTAGCAGAACAAGCATGACGAGCAGCTCCGATTCCTCTACCAGCAGCAGAACGGGGGAAGCTGATGGAACTGCCACTTCTTCAAAGTCAAGCCAAAGCAGCAACTTGCAAGCCAAGGCAGCGGAGATGCAGGTGATGCAGCCCCCAGTGGCACCGTCGCCGGTCGCGACGGGCTCGAGCTCTCGCAATCCTCGGCCCGACTCGGTAGACCAAGAAGGTGCAGCGGAGTCTAATGGTGGATACGACAACGAGGTGAGGATTCAATCGAGCGACCTTCCTGCAAGTAAAGTGGCCGGACTAACACTGGTGGCGGACGAAACCGAGCCCCAGAAGTCGGAAGAGTCGGGATTGAGGGGGGCTGCCGAGCACAAAGTGCAGACGACAAGCATGGCCAGCAGCCCGAAAACTATGGCGAAGGAGACGAGTCTGCACGCCGCACATCCAGACGTTCTCGAGCCGTCTGTACCATGCTTCGATGAACAAATTTCTCCCGACCTCCAGCCAGCAAGCGTGGTCATCAGCAGCGAGCCCTCCCGGACAAAAGATACGGATGAGCAGGCTTCGCCGGCTTCACCAGAGAGTGCTGGAATACAGCCACAGCCCTCGGCGCTGTCTGCGGAGGGCCTCAGCAAGACCACGAGTCCGCCAATCAGACCTGTTGTGGTCGATGGGATGGACACCCTGATTGCTCCCCCTCGCAAGATCGGAATGCTGGATTGGGCCGCGGCAGAGCCGCTGCACCCGCACTACGAGACTGCACAAGCCATCAAGCTACCTCCGCGCAGCGAGTGGTGGGTCCATGAGAAACTGGGTTCTTGTTAAGGAACTTAATCTTAAGTTACCAGAATGTGGATATATATCTAATGTAATTTAAGTTAGCACAATCGGGTTATTTAGTTAGCTTGAGTTATATAAGGTGCCATAATGGGTTATACATAACAAAATTTATAAATTCCTTAAGCAGCAACCCAGGAAAGAGGCCTCCGAGCGCCGGGTGGAGACTCTGGAGGCCCGGCTCCGTTCAGCGCTGGCCGCCCAGGATCCGGTGGTTGAGTGGAACCTTCACCGTTTGGAGGATACGCTGGAGTCGCCCTGCGATGAGGGAAGCCGGGCATCTCCCAGAGGCATCCCTATCCTGCAGGTGGAGCGGGAATTTCATGAAGAAGAGGGCCTCGAAGCAGCTGCTACGGCTCTGCTGCGGTCCGCGGCGGACGAGGAGTGGTCCCGCCCGCGCGGCGCTGGGACTTCTGGCCACATGTATCCGACGACGGATGACGACTGGGCTCCACCCCTCTTCTCGCCCTCAAGTCGCAGGAACGAATCAAAAGCCGCACAGAGCTCGCTTTTGGACCCCACCACAGAAGCACCCAGCGCAGGGCCCATTCCTAGCTGGATATACCGAGGTGTAGGCGCTGTGCCGTTACCGCCCCGACCTGTTTCAGTGGCGGCCGGGTCGACTGGGTCGACTGGAGGTGCCAGGAAGCCTCTGGAAGCTCTGGACGATCAGCTGCAACACCTTCTGCTACTCCAGGAGCAGCAGCTCCAGCGGCAGATGCAGCTGCAAGAGCACCAGTGCCGGCTACAGGAGATGCAACTACAGCAGCAGGAGCAGCAGCTGGAAGCTCAACAGCGCGAAAGGGAACGCCAGGAGAGGCTCGATGCATTGCGAGAACAGCAGCGGCAGTTTGATATGCAAAGAAAGAGGCGTCCTCCCGAAGCGCCCTCTGTCTCTGCGCAGCTGCCGTACAGCCTGCAGCAGCAGCAACAGCAGCAGGAGATGCTGAACCACATTCTTTTGCTGCATCAGTCGTCGCAATTGCAGCAGCTGCGGCAAGTCCAAACGGAGCAAGATCGCCACCTCCGTGAACTTCAACAGCTTCAGTCTCCTGGAGCTGCTAGGGCTCCGCCTCGAAGAGAAGCTCCCAGCCGGAGGCAGGCACGGACAGAGTGGACAGAATCGCGCCAGCGTGCCGTGACGGAGCAGAGCGGCTCACAGGCTATTGATGCTATACCTACAAGCCCATCAGTAGAGGATCGGGCACCAGCAGTTGAATCCTGGCGGCGTCATGAGGAACAGCCACCACCCGAGTATGAGGCTTCCAGTGTGTCTGTGTCGGAGGCGCCGGAGTCGTTTGCCTCGAGGGTACCTAGCAGCCGTGGGAGCCTGCGTCTGCAGAAGGACCGGGAGGTGCTCCAGAGGCGACTCTCCGAGCTTGAGGATTCCTAGATATTCCTAGACTCCCCACGCGAGCTCTGCTCTCCGACTCTGCCGGGAAACGCCGTCCGCATGACAAGGCCCGACATGAAGCGCGGCGGTGGCGGTCCTGGACAGGTCGGCCTTGGATCTCCGAGGCAAGGGGACGAGTGCAAAGGTGGGACTTTGCCGGACTGTGTTCCCGTGAGTTGCCAGGTCGTAGGTCTTGGTCTTGGTTGCTTGAGTTTGACTGTATAATGATGGAGGGAGCATGATCTCCAAATGGACTCCAAGGCCTCTTCGACTCCTGACGCCTCCTGAAATAAACGCCGCGTCTCCCGAGAGATGCGGAAGAGCTCCGAGGTTCAACGCAACTGAGGAGTGTGTCAGGCGGCACCGCCTCCGTGCCTCAGCGGACTGGAACAGTGCGAGTGTGAGTGATGGGGCCCTAAACTCTGCAGCTGCTGGAGGTTATGTTCGGCACTCTTTGAGGGACGGAACCGCAGGACGGCCTAAAACGTGCGAGCCTCTAAACAACAACAACGCTACTTCAAAAGTTGGAGGGACCGTTGGTGTTCTGTTTGCGGATCACGGTTTATGGTGTTAGGTTGGTTATGCAATTCAATACATCCTTCGCAGCTGGTCGCTCACCCGGCGGCCTCAGCATCCAAGGCATTCCAACTACATGGATAGTGCAGGAGGCCCCCAAAAAATTAGTAGACAAAAGCCTGTTCCCCATCTAGGACCTACGACTTAGGAAGCCCAACAGAGAACTGTGATCAATCCCCGTTATGCCCAAACAGCACTTGAACCATTGGTGAACTCTCAATCCAAATGCCAAAACCCCCCAACATCAACTATAAACGGATCGTAACCCCAACACCTTAACCCACCAAATCCTGACCCGCAAACACTCAACCCGAAACCGCGACAGAAACAGTCGTCAAACCCTAAACCCAGATCTCTCAGGCCCTGCTTCCCTCCACTGGACGAATGTTGCATTCCGACCTGGCCGGTTTGCCGTGCATCTCCCAGGAAATGAGGCGAGGGTACAGGACAGAGTACGTCTTTTAAGAAAGATCGCAAGTGTTGTAAATCGGTAGCATCAAAATGAGTACGGGTACGGGTACCCAGTACTAGCAGCTTTTCTTCAAAGGGGACAGTGATGATGAAACTGATGAGTGTTCTTCCTCATCCCACAATAACAAGCATGGTAACTGGTATCTTTCAGTTAACGTTATTATCACTCTTCGCAAAAAACTGCAAAAGTAGCAGTAGCTGCTCCTCTCTGCATGCTACAGGGGCCCTGAGTTGTTGACAGTTGCATTTCCTTACTGAGCTTATTGTAGCCCCTGTGATATATGATTATCGTATACCGTAGCATACCCCAAGCGCTTATTAAGCTCATTCAGGCCCTTATTTAAACCGTTGTAGCGAGGAAATTGAAAATCTAGGGTTGAGGGTTTAAAGTTTTAAAAAACCCGAAACTGCAAGGGAACATCCGAGAAAATTAGAACGATCCAGAGAAGATTAACATGGCCCCTGCGCAAGGATGACATGCACAAATCGAGAAGTGTACCAAGTTTAAACAGTTTCCCTGCAGTGCGACCTGGTCACCGAAGCCGGTGGGGGAAAAAAACCTTAACCGCCGAAGCTCCACCCGAGCACTCGGCCGAGGGCTACCCTGGATGTCGGCGTTTGGCTCCATGCAGTGCCGAGGTACTTCAGGGGGTCTCCATAAGGGTCCCTTAGAGTCCATTATCTTGCAATGATATACTTCGGAAATCCTATCCTGCAGTACTTAAGTAAGACGCTTGCAGCACGCTTCGTCATCTCGTGAGCTGCGTGGTTTGTTTTGCAGCAGAGCCCCGATCCTAGATTCTAAGGCCCAAATAACGCCTAAACAAAGTTACTTAGGCCTGAGCTTGAAAGGCCAAGCTCCTCCTCGTCCTCGCGTGCGAGTGGTCCACTAGGCCGGTAAATGCCTAGGGTGCGGAGCTTCGTCACTTGCTGCGTGTTTGGGGTTTAGGGTAAAAGTATGGAGGTTCGGAAAGACTTTTCATTTTACATATTCATCTTATTCTCCTGATTGTTGCCATAAATATAGTTATATCCCATGTATGGTTTCATCATGCTTCATCCGGTACTGCAGCAGCAACACTGCAAGACGTGCAGTAACATCACACGACTTTGCATCGGGCCCTGGGCAGGCCGATTGCTTCGGCCCATTTGTCGCAAGTGTGGCACGGTCACTCGGTGGCCCTTTGGGAAACTTTTTGGTTCCCTGTAGGGTTCCTATAGAGGTGCCCTTTCATAATTACATCCCTAAGCCCTAAGCCTTTTGAGGGCATCCCGCGTGATGTTGCACCCCGCCGACCTACGGACCTCATCTGGCAGAGTCCGAGTGTGAGAGTGTAAACCTTCTAAGGGGGGGACAAAAAAACCAAACCCTAAAGGAACCCTTATAGAGCCCTTATAGAACCCTTATAGGAACCCTAAACCCTAAGCCCATTTAAGGGCCCCACAGCTACTGCCCAGGTCACCGTGGGCGACCTCTGCCGCACCTGCTCAGGTCGAGGGCCTGAGGGTTTGGGGTTTTGAGGGTTTACTCGGGTTTAGGGTATCTGGGGCTTAGAGCGTTGAGGGATTTTTGGGGTTTTGGGGCTTTTGGGCACTTAGATAAGACAAAATGGCCCCAGATTGTGAACAGATGTTGACCGTTCTCAGTTGTGGCCACTGTCATTGCCATCACCAGTGGGCGGAACCATGCGACGAAGTTAGTTCAGGAAGAATGCAAGCGACACACTTCTTTGCATGCTCCAGGTTATAGAGTTTGCATTTTCAAACTCTCGGTGTTATGCTTTTTTTAGAAACCAGGATAGCCCGTCTACTGGTAGGCTGCTGCTCAGGCTCTCTCGAGTGGTGGACAGATGAAAGTACCTTTCTTGAAACCTGCTTTGGCAAGATTGGCCGGGTTTGGAGCTGGACTTGGGAATTTTTGCGGGAACAGCTCCTCGCTAGTTTGTTGTCCGAGGCCCCGAAGCGTGGAATGGGCTCCGGACACGGCTTCGCGAAGCGAGGACCTGCAGTGTCTGCAGAGACGTACATTGCAAAAGCGTTGCTGGCGGGGGTTGTGGGTTTAGGATTTAGGGCCTGGACGCTCCAGTTTAGACAGTGGCAAAAGCTATGGGCAACTAGTACCCGTAGCTCATGAACCCGGAAGGACAGTGGCAGAGGACTTGTGCAGGAAATGCGCCCGGCACCAAGATTCTCAGAAACTTCCGTTCTCGACTCGCCCGCCAAACTCCCTAGTCTGCCTTCGAAGCAAACAGCCACACCATGTGCGGCGGTTGAAGATGGGTCCGACTCTTTTCGTTTGGCCATAGTGCCGCTTTTTAATACCGGATCCCGCCAGGGAAATAAGAAAGCCTCACTGCGGACAGCTTGAAGAGGAAGGAAAACCCAGACTCGGAATATGCAGAGCTTGGTGTGGTATTTCGGCATTTACCAGCCGCGCGACCCTAGCCCTAGACTGTACTCCCAAGCAAGCGCCCGGCCTGTCCCAGTCACGATGTGCTGGTACCCAACAGTATGTAGAATCCCTCAATGCCCTAGAGCCTGGCCTATGGCTAAAGCCTGATAGAAACTGTATCCAAACCTTGCAGGAACCCTTTTAAAGGAACCCTTATTTAGAGGAACCCTTCCTTTTACCTCCAGGCGTCTTGCGCCGGGGAGCATTTGTGGCGCTCCTGTGCCGCTGCCGAGTATTGCGCTACGCTGACCCGTCCGGGCTTCAGACGTAGAGTAGGTAACCTTTAACCGTTTTGTGGTACCATAATGCCTGTATAATCCTGATATACTCCCAAAGGAAAAACCTGCAGTTCCCCAAAATACTTGATAAGTAAGCTTCCCAGGGCACTGTGACAAGACTGGTGCAGTTCGGGGTACTGTGGCTTGGATATGAGTCGCAAGGTTCAACCTCTGCACTGGGATCGGCGGGGCCAAATGTGCCCAAGATAAACACCATACCATAGGGCCTTGTTATTTAGACTACTGTTTCTGGGGATAAATTGAGCTGTACGCAATATGCCGGCGCTGGTAGGGCATACTCTTGCCCATGTAAATTACACTGTGAAGTGGGATCTCCTGAGCACCAGGAAACCCAAAATCCCCAGCCCTGACCCCAAACCAAAAACCTTAAACTCTAAGCCCCAAAATAGCTGCTGCGCAACCGCCACACAGATCTCGAAGTACCCTGCACTGCGGGCTCGTTCTTGCTATGTAGGAGGGAAAAAACCCCAACTAAACCCAAACCGAGCCCAAACCCTGATGATGCCAAACCCCTACAAAACCCGTAAATCGAGTCCCTTAGAGCCGTTACCCAAGACCCCGAACCCTAACCGCTAAACCCTATATAAACACTAAACCCGCAAAAATGCTACAGTGTCTCAAGCCATAGTTGCTTCAGTAGCTGGATCTGCCTTTCGCACTTCAGAATGGGCCGTGCACCGAAGTGGTTTCCGAAGTTCAAGAAGGCGCTCCCCCGTGTGGACGGCAAAGTTTTCGCCATCACCGGCACGACATCTGGTACTGGCTTTGTGGCCGCATGGGTCGTGGCCGAGCTGGGCGGAACAGTCCTCCTGTTGAATCGCACGTCTCAGCGGGTCAGCGATTCTATGGACCAGTTGAAGACCATCGTACCCGACGGGAAGTTTATCGACGTTGCGTGTGACCTCCAGGATTTCGAGAGTGTCCGGAAAGCCGCAGCCGAGATCAAGTCCAAGTATGAGAAGCCTTTCCCTGAATGCAGGCATCATGGCCACGCCAGACAGGGCAACCAAAGACGGCTATGACACACAGATGCAGACGAATCACCTCTCGCACTTTCTGCTCGCAGCGGAGCTCTTCCCCTTGTTACAAGCCGAAGCCGAAGCCACCGGGGATGCTCGCATTGTGACTCACTCCAGTCTTGGACGTCTTCACACTGTGAACAAAGGTTTGGAGGAGAAATACTTCGGGAAGAACGGTGGCAACCTGGGCGGAGACTCAATCAAGATGATGGGCGGGGCCTGCTACCATCGCTACTTCCAGACGAAGTTGGCCAACTCCGTCTTCACTTACGGGCTCCACGAGAAGCTGAAGGCCAAGAACTCCAAAGTCAGGTCCTTGACCTGTCACCCAGGTGGATCTGCCACGAACCTCTCCAATGGCCTCAAGTTCGGATGCTGCATGGATTGCTTGATGAGCTGCTGCATCATGCCTTGTATGGCCCAAGCCCCGGAGGATGGTGCCATGGGTCTCATCAAGTGCATGATAGATCCTGAGGCGGTGAGTGGAACACTCTATGGCCCAAAGAACAGCGGCTTGACGGGCCCAGCCGTTGCCAACCCTACCTTTGACTACGAGACGGATCCCAAGGCTATCGAGATGCTGTGGCGGACAAGCGAGGAGGCCACTGGCGTGAAGTTCGACGTCTGAAGGGTTCGCCCATCTCTGAGAATATGATTCATGCGAGTTGTGATTTTCTCAGTCCCTATTCCTTTGACCGAACGCTGAATGTTGTTACGGGCTCGGAGACCCTCCATCCAAAACAACCTTGGGGGGGGCATCCTCGGTCCCTTGTACAGACATCTTGCACATGCACGCTTGCACCTAACATGGTGCTGCACTGAAACAGCTTCCGCAAATGCACGAGTTAGCGCCGGCTGACTGGCAAAAAAAGGGATTGCATGTGACCCTTGACCTTCGCAACTCACAGTCTTTAGAGTCGACGAACAAGTTCCCTGCGGTGCGACATAGTCAGCTGGGCGGGTGGGGAAAAAACCTGCAACGCGGGCTCGTCCTTGCTATGTAGGAGGGAAAAAACCCTAAACCCTGTACCAAAAAACAAACCTAGCCCACCGCAGCCGACCTCCGAGGCCGCACCGCAGCCGAAGCCGAGGCCGAGAAATTGCGCCGGCAGCTCGCGGAGTTGTCCCTGGACGAACGACTCGAGGACAGTTCTTATAGGTTTACCCATAGACTCCATAGTAGTTCCTTTTTGGGATTACGTTACAGGATTCTAAATACAGACCACCAAAAGGAACTACTATGGAGCCTATAGGTTTAGGTTTAGGACCCTAAACCCCAAACCTAGATGTTTAGGGTTCAGGGTTCAGGGCTTGAGGTTTTGGGGTAATCCTACGATTCGGAGCAGGCTTTGGGGGCTTTTTGGGAAAACTTGGTGTAGGGCCTCGAGAAGCGTGTTAAGTTAGGGCCTCTCGTCTGGGGGTTTGGGGGTTTTAATTTTTAGGGTTCGGGGTCGTGTTTGGGAGGTTTTGGATGTAGGGTGTAGGGTCCAGCGAGGTTCTGCTTTTAGGATTTAGGTGGCTCAGGTTTTGGGTTTTGGAGGTCTGGGGGATTTATTTGCGGGGCTGAGTAGCTTTGGGGTTCAAAGGGTCAAGGTTGCAGAGGGGTCTTTTTCGACTGGGATCCCCTTTCAATTCAATGCTTCTTGGCCTGAGTTTCACCCTAAAACCGTGGAGGAGCAGGTGGTGGATCCCATGGCAGCAGAGAAGTCGCAAGGCCCCCTGTCTGACGTGGGGCTCCCCGGACGTGGTTTGCAATTGGTTTAGGTGGGATCTTCAACTGTGAAGCCAGTCTCTTCAAGCTGAGCCAGGGCTTAAGTGAACGTTGAAATCGTCAGAACTTGCCCCCAAGCACTTTGAAAACTCTTTGGGCCCTTTTTAAAGGCTTCGGGCAAGAAACCCCAGGACCAGTCTCCCAGGTCAGTTTGGTAATCAAGGGTCATGGGGTTGAGATAGAGAGTCCTAGTGATGCCGCAAAGGCATTGCAGCTTTGAATCGGGCACCCGTTGTTGGATTCTTTTATCTCAGTGGCCCTTCGGCGTAGAATCTTGAAGCTTCTTGCGCCCTAGGCCCTATTCCCTGAGAACCCTCGACCCTGAAGCCGTGTCCTGCCCCTCTGAGTCGAACATGGTCTTTGCCGTCGACTCGGACAGTGAGCCGGAGACATCCAAGGAGGCTGCCCTAAACCTGAATGGGGTTTGGGTTTAGGGCCATCCTAAACCCTAATCCTAAAGCCCTGAACCTTCCTTGCCTAAACACCAAACACTCTAAAGCCTTGAGGCCCCAAGACCCTAGGTAGGGTCTACAGCCCGGTAGATCTTGTCTCCAGGGAGGGGAGTGGGGCAGCTTGTCTTGGCTTTTCGTCGTTTAGATTTCCTTCTGTACTCCAAGAGGGACCCCCACGAACAAAGATACAGTTTTAAAGTTTCCCTTAGCTTTTCCTTTGCTTCCTGAAATGCACTAGATGTTGCAAGTATGGCGGTTTACTTTGTTACCCCGCCCTGGAGTAAATCCTGATGATCGCTCCTTGTGGATTTGTTTCATGTGGTCCCAGGATGAGGGGCACTTGTCTTAGTCGACAGATTCATCCCAACTGCCCGGAATTCAGGCCGGCACCCCACCTTGCCCCGGGACCTCGCGTACTTCCAGCAGTTCTGCTGCCCATCCTCCAGAAAGATGCGGCGACTGGGCAACAGCTTCGGAAGTTCAGAAGGCCACGGGTTGGTCCCCAAAGGGCTTGTTCCATAATCGAGTTCGTAGTCGATCTTCCTAACTTGACCTTGCAAGATGCAAACTGTTAGAAGTATGGGCCCCTAATGTGGACCCTTATAAGTTTTTCCAGGGACCCTTTAAGGGGTACATATAGCACGTGCATAAGGATCCCAGGGTTAGGGGCCAGGGGCCCATGGTTTCAACCTTAGACAAACGACATTGTCGGAAGAGGCAAAACAACCCTGACGAAGCCAACGCACCCCAAAAAGACCTGGAAAGACTCGAAGTGCCCAACTCGTCGGGAGGGGGTCCGGGAGCTGCGAATTGAGAAGACCTGCATGCACCTTCATGAAGCATCTTCGAGTTCAGATGGAGGGATCGGAATGCCTCATCAGGCAACCCAAAGCCGTCCTTGCCGTAATTCAGGTTTCGGCGAGGACGTGACCTTCACTGTTTCGTCGGATGAGGACCCGGCCATTGCAATCATGGCAAGCAGACACCATGACCGCCACCACCACCACCACCACC